TTCTCTTGAACTCTTTAAGCCGTAATTACCACATTCCTAGAATGTGGCCGCTTTCCAACTGGCCACACGTCTGCCTTTCACACGTTACCACCAGCTGGGAGGATAGGCAAGGAACCCACGGATAGAGTGAAAAGAGCAGTCCAGTTCATGCAAGGAGCTGTTATCCTTCATCTTACACAGATTAAGACCAACCCAAGATAGCATGTCATCACCTATCAACTGCAGGCAAGAGAGAACATTGATAGGAAATCCTCCATTGGCACTGCAGAGCAATCCTTACAGGACACAGGAGTGGCCACTCCACACCTCCATCCATGGTGTGGATCCTGCAAAAGGGATGGAGTAACTGCCTGGGTGCCAGCAATGGGGTGTTTACAGGGTAAGAAATATGTGCCACTATCCCTGACACCCTTGGGTGCTACAGACCAGAATTAGCACAACAGTGAGAACATGGACAGTGAAAGCCTTCATACATGTGGCTAAAGCCTAAGGATCAGCGGTAAGTGATGGTTGGTGGCCCAGAGTCCTGAATTCATCCTGTGTCCAGGATTGTATCAGTCTGTTTTGCATTGCTATAAAGGAATACCTGAGGCCGGGTAATTTATAAAGAAAAGAGGTTTCTTTGTCTCACGGTTCTACAGACTGTACATGAAGCATTGCTCCAGCATCTGCTTCTGGTGAGGGCTTCATGGAGTTTCCAATCAAGGCAGAAAGCAAAGTGGGAGCAGGTATGTCACATGGCGAGAGAAGGAGCAAGAGAGCGGGGAGGAGGTGCCAGGCTCCTGTAAACAACCAGCTCTCACATGAACTAATAAAGTAAACTTATTGATTACTGTAGGGAGGGCACCAAGCCATTGATGAGGGATCTGCCTCCATGACCCAAACATCTCCCACCAGGCCCCACCTCCAACACAGGGGGATCAAATTTCAACATGCAATTTGGAGGGGCCAAACATCCAAACTATATCAAGGATATGTACGAATCACCCAAAATCAGTATGTCAGCACCATTTTGGTGTCCCACTCAGGTGAAGAAATGCCAAACTAGCCAGGGGGAGCAATCCACTTACAAGGTCACCCTCCTGGAACCAGAGACTGGCCTCAGGGCCCCAGGACGACCCTCTTAGATGCAAGTTTCAGCACTCTTTTGGGGCACCTGGTTGACCTCATACATGTATGTGAGTGGGGAGGCAGTGCTCCAAAGGGGGAAAATGGGACTCAGACCCACATAGGCCCCAGTCCAAGCTCTGAGCACTCCCCCCACATGGCACCACTGGCCTCAGCCAGTCCCAGCCAGACACCACAAGGGAGCTTCCTATGTGGAAAGCATTCCAAAGTGTAGGAGAACCCTTAGGGGCTTAGGCCCAGGGCAACAGTCCTGTTTGCCAGGTCTAAAGATTGAACTGGCCCCAGTATATAACTTTTGTGGCCATCCAAGGAATGGACTTTAAGGAGTTCTATAAGATCCCACATAGCCACATACCAACCAACATGGCTGAAACTCAAACCCATGCTGATGCTATTGCACTTTGTGTTATAGTGCTGCTTCCAGAAGGACTCTGTCAAAATATTTAATGCACTCTCTGTGGGTGGTGAGTCCAGCTACAACACTACCAACTGCAGCTGCCATTCATTGAATGCTGCTATGGGCTACTTAATCTCACATAATCCTTACAACAAGCCAGGTGTGGTGGCTCATGCCTATAATCCCAGCATTTTGGAAGGCCACGCTGAGAGGATTGCTTGAGGCCAGGAGTTCAAGACCAACATGAGCGAGAGTGAGACTCTGTCTCTACAAAAAATGGGAAAATTAGCTGGGAGTGGTGGTGCATGCCTGTATGTCCAGCTACTCAGGAGGCTGAGCTGGGAGGATTGCTTGAGCTCAGGAGTTTGAGGTTACAGTGAGCTATGATAAGGTCACTGCACTCCAGCCTGGGTGACAGAGCGAGACCCTGTCTCAATTAAAAAATAATAATAATAACCCTGGCAGGGCGCAGTGGCTCACACCTGTAATCCTAGCACTCTGGGAGGCCAAGGCAGGTGGATCATTTGAGCTCAGGAGTTCAAGACCAGCCTGAGCAACAGTAATACCCTGTCTCTACTAAAAATAGAAAGAAATTAGCTGGACAACTAAAAATATATAGACAAAATTAGCTGGGCATAGTGGCACATGCCTGTAGTCCCAGCTACTCGGGAGACTGAGGCAGGAGGATCACTTGAGCCCAGGAGTTTGAGGTTGCTGTGAGCTAGGCTGATGCCACAGTACTTTAGCCCAGGCAACAAAGTGAGACTCTGTCTCAAAAAAAAAAAAAAAAAAAAGGGAGAGTTCTTACCTAGAAAGTCTTTCATGCTAGAGAAAGGAGACAAAAAAAAAAAAAAAAAAAGCAATAGTGCACGAGTGTGTGTGTGTGTCATATATTACTAAAACACCCCTGGAAGAGTCTATCTGAGGCAGTACTCATAATTAATCACATTGATATTTCCACAGTGAAATGTACAATGAACATATGACATACATAAAATAAATAGCCTCACATTTTCAATTTTGTCAGGTGCCATATCTAAATGAGTTTTGGGGCCACTTTAAAAAAAATGTTCAGTTTACAGAGCTTTAGGGATTTGGGAACTGTGGATAAGTGACTGTGGACCTGTCATATGGACTAAATAAAATACTCTGGAAGTGTACAGAGAGAGCTCCATTGGAGTTAAAAGAATTGGTGAAAGTTTTGTGAATGAGGCAGAATTTGGGCTGTAACAAGTTAATGTTCTGTCCCTGGGAGGTGAGGTATCCACAAAGCCTTGTCACCCTGCTGTCAGCCATGGAAGTTGTATTTTCCCGCTTCAGCCACTGGAGACCCATAGATTGTTCTGTAAATTGATTTCCTGAGGTAGTCTCCACTGTCAGATAGAAACCGGAGCGCTGAGATTTGTCCAAAGTGGAGACCAGAAAGAGGAGAGAGGTATACTTATTAAACAGTGTAGGAATGCTTAGGGAGAGAGGCTGGAATGAACCTATAAGAGGATGAAGCCACATCTGCAAATGAGAAAATGTAGGCTTCAATCCCTGGTTAATTCCAATCTCTATTTCACCCCTTACAATGGATCTCTTTCACAATTCATTCCCAATCCTAATGCCCTTGGTTGACCCACCAGAAAAATTCCTAACATGGCTGATTTTCTCTGACATCTGCTCTTCTTTCTTCTCTTCCTATCCCATTTCTCATTTTCTCCCTTGCCTTGGATGATCTTTTGTTTCTTTCCCCAGAGAGGGATTCCCATCAGGAAGAGTAGGGATCTGCCTTGGTCAGGTATCACCTCCTGCCACTTCCTACCACCTCTGAAATGTCAGGGCAGCCCAGATGCAGACACACTTCCTGTTCAACAACACTGTTCCTAAGAGGTCATTGCCAGGAGAGGTGAGTCAGAGGTATAAAGGGGCATGTTGAATCAAGAGCGTCTGAGCAGATACCAGAGACAACACATTCAAGTGGTGGCCTGCCTGAAAGAACAGGAAGGATAGAGGAAACTGGAGAATAAATGAAGAAAGAACAGGACAGTGAAAGCCAGATCAAAGTAAAGCAAACCTTTCTTCCCTCCAGTCTCCCATGTATCTATGTCCCTGACTCTCGGATCTGTAACATTCTAGCAGAGAAAAAAACTTAAGGGGATAAAATCTCGAAATCAAGTCACATCACACGGTGGATCCTTATAGCCGTTTGATCAGATTCTCTGCTCCTAGCATGTTGAACTACATTATTTCTTGATATATTCGAATTTAGAAGAAATAGGCGGAGGGCAGCCATTTGTGATCCTCTATTTTTTGAACCCCATAGATTTTCCTCTCCTTGAGACAATCCAATACCCTCTCTTCTGAAATTATTCTTTTACCAAATTTATTATTCTTCAGAGTAAGAATGAGGAAGAGATGCTAAATGAGAACACAATTCTCTCCCATCCCATTCACTCCACATCTATTGAGCATCTAATGTGAGCACTATTCTACTTTTTGGACTGAATTGGGAAAAATGGCGCTTTCTCGTGCACACGCTCTCTCTCTCTCTCTCTTCCTCTCTCTCACTCTCCCTCTCTCTTCCTCTCTCACGCACTCTCCTGATCCACCCTCCCTCTGACCCCCTATGCCAGATTCTGACTATAGGACCAACATCTACTTACTTGGCATAGCATAAGTGACCACCATTGGCTGACTGAATCTCTAAAAGGATCCAGAGAAAGAGAAGGGAGGGCCTAAAAAAGAAAAAGAAGAGGAAAGAACATAAAAAATAAAGGAAAAGAAGAAGCAAAGAAAAAAAGCAAAAGAAGGAGAGGAAAACAAGAAGCAAAGCAAAGAAGAAGACAGTAAAAAATGGGAGGAAAGAGAAAAAGGAAGAGAAGGGTCAAGAAAAAGAGTGTTTTCCTTACCCAGCACATGTTCTGTCATGGACTACACCACCACACCACTTTCCAGTAGACCCTCAAACCAGGCCCTAGATTTTTCCAGGATCAGAAAAAGAAACCTGACCCACATGGTTCTCCAGATGCAGTCACAGATAAAATCACTTTAATTGCCTCCACAGCACAGAAGTGAAGTTGTGCAAAGCCCAAAAGTCTTATGCAATTGCTGTAGAGGCTCAGGGTGGGGAGCAGGAAAAGACATGGGCAAAGGAGGCATTAAACTCTTCCAGTCCACACCCAGAGGTAAACTCAGACCAGGGAGCAACCTGATGACCAGGATTACAGCAGGGACTAGAGCAGGTCCCCACTTATTCCTCCCCAGGCCAGGGAGGGGAGAAAAAGAGAGCCTATGAAACCAGGCATCATCACGCGATTCTGCCATCTCTAATCCTGGGAACAAAATGCAAGTTGGGCGACCCATAGGACAAAGAAGAATTATATTTTAAAGAGAGAATAACAAAGAATAGCTCATCCTCCCTTCCCAGAACCTTCTTTTCAGCATACCTAAGAGGAGAGCAACATGTGAAAGAGAAAGTAGAAAAGGAAGAGGAAGAGGAGAAGGTGAAGAGAGAAAAAGGATGGATTGTTTCATTGTCCAGGTGTTAACTGGAGCTTCATGTCATTACAGCTTATAACAACAAACTTTTCCATAATGAAAGTCAGGTAATTGCAGTTAGGAGTGATTTGGCCTGCTTTGGACAACTTACAGTGTGTCAAATCAAAAGGATGGGAGCTTTTGTGACATTTGCCCCCCTTGAGCTCACAGGAAACAACAGGGCTGTTACAGACAGCTTTGACTGTTTTTGGATCCTCGTGGATGAATGTGTACTCATTTATGCAGGTCTGATTGTGCTCCTTCATCTTGTGTGCCATCATGGCATTGCATTCCCTAGCTGTGAGGTCAAGCTGGAGATAGTCTTTGTTGCTCTGAGAGAGAGCCTCAGCTCTGAGCATCTTGTTTCCTTCAACCTCATCTTCACCGAGGATGGTCTCTTCTGGCCAGACAGGTTGCACCACTCCTTTGTTGCTAAGCACCAGGGTTTCTGTCATTTGGGTACCCTCTCTCTCAGTGGCTTTAGCTTCATCCTGTGAGTCACTGGACCAAAATTCATTCAGTGGCTGATCACTGTCCTCCAGGACTGCTGCAGCCATCTGAAGCCCCAGGCCCAGGCCCACCCCCAGGCCCAGCAGTAGCAGCAGCAGCATGAAAAACACCTGCACCAGATTCTGCTTCATTTTGCCTGGAGGGGAAGATGGAAATGGAAGAACACAACTTTGAGATGAAAATTGGCTCTAGTAGAGGGTATAGTCTCCCTATACCCTACAGCACCCTCTTTGTGGTCTCCTCTCACTTCTCCACATTACTCCATCCTCTTCAAGACAGTGATTCTTTCTTTTCTTTCCCTATTTCTCTTGTTCCTCCCCGCCACATGCTCTGGGGCTGTGTGATAGATGAGGTATGGCTCTTAAAGAGTAGGAAGATAACCAGGGCAAACAGTTCTGAAGTGGTTTACATATGAGGAATCAGTAAGGGAAGTTCACACCCACTGATTCTTAAATAGAAATTCATTCCAAATAACCAAAGAGAATGATTGAGAAGACAAGTGAGTTCAGTGTCATGCTCTCCTTTAGAGAAATTCTTGTAGAAAGTCTTATTTTCGATAAAGGACCAGAATTACCATAGGAGACCATCTCCCCATTTTTATCACAAATTTACTTTTGCTCATTCAAGTATCTATTACTCTCCTTGCTACTCACCCTCCCAAGAAAAAGATCAAACGGAATAGAAAAAGTACCACTCTCACTCCTAAGCGGAGGCTGGAGGGAAGATGTCCAATTTTACATCTCAGGCTCCCCTGCTAAAGCTACATCTTGTCATGCCAGATTCCTTCTACGACTAAAGACCTCTTAGCACCTAGGTATTCCTGCCGATTAGGTTTGTACTCCCAGGGGAAGAAACAGAATAAGAATGAAACCAAAGAAAATCAAACAATTGATCTGCTGGGGTTCCCTACTAATAAATACCCTAATGAGAGCTAAGGGAATGAGCATGTATCTTTGTCCTGCTAGGCCAGCCTCATCTCCCTATCAAAGAGACATCTTCCCTACCAGAAAAAAAAATGCTATAAAGAACATTATTGAGACAATTGATAAAATTAGAATACATTCTGTACTGAAGATAAGAATATTGCAATAGTCCCCGCTGATCCACAGGGGATAAGTTCCAAGACTCTGAGTGGATGCCTGAAACTACAGATAGTGCACTATGGCTTCTCTTTGGCATATCGAAATTGCCAGCGTTACTGCTCTTACACTTTGGGGCCATTATTAAGAAAAGTAAGAGTTACCCGAGCACAAGTACTGCGATACCGGAACCATGACAGTGTATCTGATAATGGCTACTAAGTACTAACCGACTGGCAGGTGGTGACTACAGCATGGATACATACGCTAGACAAACGGTTAATTCACATCCCAGGCAGGATGGAGCAGGACAGCAAGAGATGTCATCACACTACTCAGAACAGCATGTAATTAAAAATTATGAATTATTTCTGGAATTTTCTACTTCATATTTTCAGACCACAGTGGACCACCAGTAACTGAAACTGTGGGTAACGGAGACTACTGCGTATCAATGTTTGATACACTGAATTTTAAAACTGTACTCTGATTATTAAAGAAAATATCCTTGTTCTTAGGGAATGCATGCTGAAATATTAAGGAGCAAAGGAGTACATACAATGTATGCAACCTGCTCTTAAATAGTTCAGAATATAGATCTAAGCGTATGTGTCCATGTGTGTGTTTACAGAGAGAGAAAGAAAATCATAAAATAAGTGTGAGTGAAAACATTTTAATGTATCTGGATAAAAAGTATTCAGGAGTTCCTTATATTATTATTACAACTTTTCTCTAAAGTTGAAAATATTTCAAAAAAAATTTTTTTTTATTTTAAAAAAGAGAGAGAACTTCCCATGTTGTTCCCTGGGGCACCCAACACCTCTGTGACTTACCTACAAGCCTAAGTAGTTTCAAACAGTCTTGAGTCCTCCCCAAGTTCTTCCCTCCCAGGGTTTCCCTCTCTGTGAGCAGTTCTCTGGCTGCTGATCTGCAGAAAAAATGGTCATCTCCTGACGGTGCATGAGCTCTTAAACCCAGACTTACTTCCTCAACCCACCCTCCCTTTCACTTCCCCCACCCAGCCCTACATAAACACACTCAGCCAATCCTCCTCTCTCTTCCCACAAACACTTTGAAGTAAGGCTATTTGGGCACTGAGACAGATCCAAACACCCAAGACAGGAAATATCTGCAGCCTAGGAAACTGCAGGCAGTTTTGTTTCATTAATCAATTGTTCCACTCCTGAGTTACACCCACTATCCTGTGGTTTCCAGCAAACAGCCTGACCTTGTACATGAATTTCAAATCTAGTCCTTTTCTTATATTCTGCACAATGTACTTCCTTTAAGCTTTCCCTGTAATTTCTGGAATGTCAAGACCTTTGCCCTTTATTTGGATCGTCTCTACAACATGGGTATTTTGCTTTTCACATTTTACAAGCATGTCATGACTTTTTTGGAAGATTTAGAGTATTTGAGTCAATCATGAATTTTTGCATACCTTTATCCCACCCTGTACTCTCCACTCCCTCTTTCCATCCGCCAGCCAATAACCACATTCTCATTCTCGTAAGAATATCCAGATTTTGCAAACCTAATCATTTAGTCCTAGATGAAAGATTATCCAAAGCAACACTATCATTATCCATCCTGGGTGAATAAAACCAGGAGAGTTACAATGTTGATTCTAAGGTTCACATCTTTAACTGCTCTGGAGATTATTAAGACACTGTAAAAATTCTGTACAGATATAAAGAGGCCCTTTAGGAGAATGTTTTCCTTGGTCATTCAGGCAGGAGTTTTCAATAGTGGTCTGGGAGCCACCTCTGTGTTCTACAACGTCTACTAGGCTGACTTTTTGCAGCCTTTTTGTTTATAATTTGCAACGATAACAACTAACCAGTATTGAGCACTTACTTCACGCTTGCTCTTCTAATTGCTCTTCATGTTCACAATTTGCTTGTGCTATCCCTCTTTAGTGCCATTCATCCTGGTGAGATCTATTTGCAACGAGAAGAGGACATCAAGAATCCTCTGCTGAGCCCAGTAGCAGTCTGGGGTCAACAAGGATAAATATATTCAACTACAGGAAACACCTGCTTCTTTATAATTGGAGTGT